GGGGGGAGGTGCTCAGTCGGAGACTATCACTGCTCGAGGCTGCTTCGAAACAGTCAAGCAGGAAACAGCTTATCATCTCGGGGAGGGAGGGGGATCTTCCGACACACAGCCCCATTAGCCTTGCGCAGTGCTTGTTGGAAAAACGACGCCAGACGAAAACAAATCCCAACATCACTGCCACAACCGATGTCGCAACAAACTTCCAGCAACAGTTACAGTATAGCGTGCCTGATGCGGTCGAGCAACTGTATTTCCCCGCCGATGAGCCAGTCCCCGCCCGAGTAGATGTGCGAGATGTAGGGGTGTCCGGGGTCGATGACACCGAAGACTCGCGAGACGATCTCCTCCTTTCGGTTGGCGTAAATCTCGAAGTTGTTCAGGACCGCAACGATATCGCCGTCCTGAAGTGACAAAGATTGCGACATACAACGACGGGGGGACGGGGCGTCACGCTCATGAGTGCTGCAGGCTCGCGCGTCAAGGGGGGGGGAGTGATGCGGCGTTCGCTTGGCTTCGTTCAGACCGGTGAGACATGGGACATGTGCCCCCGAAAATGGTTGCGAGAGTTCCCACGTCAAACAGGGGAACACGCGCGACGTTACCCAGACAACAACAACAACAACAACAACAACAACAACAACAACAACAACAACAACAACACTGTTGACCTAGGTGGCGAGGAGGTAAGCTTGCCAATGGACTTGCACCGTCAGTCTCAGCTGCCAAACAACAACAGCAACAGCAACAGCAACAGCAACAACAACACGACCGCCACAAGAAAGCTTAAGCTTGCTTCACCTTGGTGACGAGGGCAGCCGACGTCATCCCGCTCGATTCGAGCGACTCCTTCGTGAAGCCAGTGCAGGGCAGCACGATCGGCACCGACATGCTAACCCGGTTGGGGGGGCGGTGGGTCGGAAGAGCGTCGAAGGCCGTGTCCATCTCGTTGAAGTTGTAGTGCCCTGATCACGCGTAGCACAACATCGGGAGAGAACGAACGCGGGTGGAGGAGGAGTGAGACTTGATTTGAAGGAAGGCGGTGCTTTAAAATGTCCGGTTCAAGAACGACACAAATGTGACTCGAATGTGACTCGAATGGGATTGTTGTTTGGCCCTTTGGTTTTGGTTGTCTTCGGAGGTGGAAGGAAGGGGAGAAAAAGGATAAGACAGGGGGAATGAAGTACGGGGTACCCTGTATCTCGAACGAGTAGTCTTGACGCGACGTCATTACCATAAGTCTTCCCAAAACACAAAGGCCTGAGCAACAAACGATCGCCTTTCTCCCGCCAACAAGGGCATATATTTCAACCTGTTTTGTCTCTACGACCATACTGAATCCCAGACGAAAATTCGAAATATCAAAATAGGTTCCACCAAAAATCCTACATGAGCCCGGTCGGTCTTCTCTTGTCTTCCTCGCTCTGTCTCTGTCTCTCTGTCTGTCTAGGTTCTCTTCTTATGTTCTCTCACCGGTCGTGTTTGCGGGGTCAACAAGCAAAGAGGCGAAGTGGATTGTCTGGAGCAGAGCTCCCTCACGCATGAAGCCCTTGAGAGGCGAAGCCCAGCCCTCTCCGATCACCTGTCGTTAGAAGTACACGGCCACCGGTGAAAACACACGCACATCAGTATCATCAGTACCACCAGCACTGTACCACTTTCGGGAGGGGCTGCAAGGAAGACGAATGGAGACGAGCACACGGACTTGGCTCTTGGCGAGGGTATGCAAGACACCAGGCTCGATGCACGTGCCAACTTTGGTTCAAGCTAGACGTCAGTATTGATCAAACAACAGCAACAAAAACTTTGATGACAAAGAGAAGACTTAATCGCACAGGGGCGGACGAAAAGCGTAAAGGCAACATCGGGAGAGAGCACCAAGGACCTCAAGCTCTCAATTCCACGCAAATCACCACTGTAACTCTCGTCGCTAAAGCTATTGGAACATTCCATGTGAGAGGGAAGCTACTGCTGCTGCTGCTGCTGCTGCCGGCGCCTTACCTGCAGCCAGTTGAGGTCGATGTCGGTGATAAGAACCTTGGGAAGCGTCTCGGCAAACGCCATCAACGCCGCCTTTTCGCTGCGAGTCCAAAGACAATCATAAGCAGAGGAAAAATTAATAATAGCCGAAAAATTGTCAAAGATGAGTGGGGGAGAACACCATCTACAAACCTTGTACACATCAGTAGTCGGGAACGACTCTCAAGAGGATGGCAGGGCGTGGCAAGGAACGTTTGTGTGCCGACACGCGAAGGGTACGTGGGGTGGCACAGCTCAAGCACAACGCACGATAGGGGGGGAGGGGAATGCCAACTTGATGGCCACTGCCGTGATACCACCACATCTAGCACCTTGACCCCGTGACACCACACTCACCATCACCGCCAACAACAACCGCAATCACGCAGGACACTTAAGTGATAACGACATTGAAAATAACTTGATCCCATAGCACCGCAAACACCAACAACCACATTACCAACAACAACAGTCACGAAGCACGCGTTATCGTTATGATGCACGTAGCACCGACGTCTAACACCTCAACCTCATGACATCACAGCCAACACCCAAGAGCCGTAATCGCACAGCAGCACACCTGGGGGCCACGTGTAGGTCGATGATCTCATCGCCGTCGGGCATGGGCAGGCCACTCGGGTCTGAGGGGCCCCCAGTCAGGATTCCGCCAGCCTCAAGCACACGGATAAGGGCGTCCACACATTCCTGGATCGTCATCTCCATGTTCGGAAGGCGAAGTTCTGCAAAAAAAAAAAAAAAACGCGCACAGACACAGGGGAGGGAGGGGCATCACTAGCACGTCCTGACGCGTGCATATGACAACAATCTCCATGCTAAACAGGAAAATAGCGCTCTGGACGAAAAAGAGTGCATGCGCAGAGGACTAGAAACCGATACGACGGGGCTGTTACGTGTCCTGCTGCACAGTACTTTACTGAACAACGTCGGCGTTTCTTCATTGGTCAGGTGGGTGATGAGGTCGACGCCACTCCCAGAAATTAGACAAGCACGCAGCAGATGGGAGTCATGTATCATGGAGGGCTCTCTGTTGTGTAGCCCCGAATTGAAAGCTCCTCCTCAGAATTATGCGTACTGATCGTGGGGGAAAAAAAAAGAAAGCACACGCACGCAACTAGTATACCGAGTCAGGATCATCATCCGTCCAGGAAACCAAACCACCGCCTAAACCGACCACAAAAATACTCCTCCAAACACCATACATCACCACGACTGCCGGCGGTGAGAAGAAGCTTCTCGCGCCGAAAATCGGACGACGAGAGAGCAAAAGCCTGCAGCTCACTCTTGACACCACCAAGGTAAACCCGCCGAAAAGCGTCCCGGCAGAATGCAAACACCCAAAAAAGGACATACCGGCGTTGAGGGGGGGCTCGTACGGTGCGTCGACCCCGGTGAAACCCTTGAGCTTGCCCTCCTCCACCTGCTTGTACAGTCCCTTGGGGTCACGCCTCTGCACCTCCTCGAGAGGCACGTCTAGGAAGATCTGCAACACACCCATGGCGTGCCACGAAATAAGGATATTGTAGAGAGGGGGGGCACAACAGAGAAAGTTTCAGGTTGGGTGGGGTAGGGAACATCTCGATGATCAGTGACTAGGATCACGTGCGGCGTGGGTACAACAGTCGACTTTCGCGTTGAAATGGGACAACATCTGGGCGGACACCCCCATGCTACGATCATGCCACGACTATCGGAAGTGTCACGGACACTTGGGAAGAACGACCCCGACGCTAGGGGCACCAGCGAAAAACAACATGACCATCATACAAATGCGCATGCACCGCCGTAGTACACATACACAAAGCGGTGAGCAACGCGCCTATCACTTGCCAGTCGAGAACAGTGAACACTTGGAGTGGAATGGAAGGGCGTGCCAAGAATTGCACAGCACAAGCCATCGCAAAAATATGCTGCCAACTCCCCCGCCACCCCTGCGAGCAAAACACGTCACCAAAAACGCGGCGAGAATTCTGTTTTTGCTGCACCTCGAAGAAGGGGATGCCCTGGTCCTCGTGCCTCTTGCGGACAGCATCGCGGGCATCTCTGTCGCACACAAGGAACGCCAGGGATAACCAAGGACAGATGAGGCACAGCAACAGGGTGCAAAGTGTGACTCAAGGCTAGATAAGAAACAGTGGTAACCTCGAAGGGAGGACCTGCGACTGCAAACAGAGGCGGTGACATTACCACACGTGTCAACACGATTCCCGACAAGGTGACAACAACCACAACGCCTAAGCATTATGCACAGACTAGCGTCGACCCCACGCTGTTTGCAAGCGAGCTTACCGGTAAGGAGAGACGAGAGACACGATGGTGATCGTCCCCGAGTCGGAGAAGAGGCAGGAGGTCTCGCCCACGCGTCGGACCGACTCTCCGCGGTCCGCCTCCGAGAAGCCTGACAAACACACAAAAAAAAATCGAAAACAAGGTGAAACAAAAAAACGCGAAAAACATGGAACGAAAAAGCCCTCGTGTGTAGACACATAATTAATCTCGTGACTTGGTGTGACAACGGCGCTAGTCATCCATCATCCATCCTGCCAACACACAAGCAAGCGTGAACTACACCACCCGCTTGCTGTAGAGCATGTAGAAACATCTAACGAGTCATAGTTCCAACAGGGGTACCGCGCGTGGATACCGTATATGACACAAGATAACACACCCCCTTGACCAAATTTCGAAGCTCGATATCTCAACTGCAGGAACAGTCACAGCGCCGAAAATGGCGGCGTTGAAACCGTCTCGTCGAGAGCTTTTCGAAAATGTATCGTTTCGTTTATGCATCCTCTTCGTCGTGGAGTAATAGAGCTTTGAAAATCGGTCCAGGGGGTGTGTTATCCTGTGTCACATACGGTACTGCACCCCCCAACAACCCTAAAACACACACAACACAAAGTCCCTGTCTTCGAAAAGCGCTCGCGGGGGGGGATGTTGACAAACCCGCCCCTCCACAAAAAATGCAGCGGACCGATACACCTCCCCGTCCCTTCGACATCGACTTGACACACACAGACAACGACACCGACAAACCGATACTGCGATACTTCAAAAACAAGAAAAAAAACACCCAAAGCTCTGGTGGCAAATATGACTCGCACCAAGGTCGCGGTTCAGGCCGGTGCGGATGTTGTCCCCGTCCAACCGGTAGACGTGCTTGCCCCCCCTCAGCACCAACTCCTCCTCGAGGGCCTTCGCGATGGTGCTCTTGCCGCTGCCGCTGAGACCGGTCATCCACAGGGTGGCACCCTTCTGCCCCACGGCCGCGTATCGCTGGGGCCTGGGCAGGTGGCACACCTGTTGTGTTTGTGTTGTTGTGTTTTTGTGTTTCGAGGAACGAAAGGGGAAGGAAAGGGATGGGACAGGGGAGGGTTTTGGCTGAAAAAACACACTGTCTCCGCGAAAACAAACATGAGACCTGCTTGGCTTCTCCACCATTCTCCTCGTGCACATCGCAAGTAAAACAACACTCACCTTGGCTTTTTGTTTCTCTTGTTCGTCGATGTCGACGTCTTTTTCCCGACATCCACAGCAGAAGTCACCCGACATTCCATGCGGGCACACAAGAGCAAGTTGCCCATAGTAAGTAATCTACATGGTAACCCGGCGTGGCAAGACAAATACGTCGCCACCGCCTCCAAAAACGCACAAAACACACACGCCCCGCCGCACCCAACCACAACACTTAGTGAGTGCTACTCCACACTACGAACCTCCTGAGAGCCGCCTTCCCCCGCCTCTGAGCACTCGATGATGTGCGGGGTCGTCTGGTCCAAGCTCTCCTTTCGGCACTTGCCCATGTCGAAGTCAGCGCAGGTCAGCTCCGCCGCACCGCCACCGCGCACCGCCGGCGCAGCTGCCGGACACACGGGGCAGGAGGGGCACGGCTCGCACTGTGCCGCAGCCGCCGGTGGCGATACAGGAGGCGTCGGCACGCCGGGGATGTCGGCGGAGGACCAACCACCTGTGCCGGACTCGCCACCGTCCAGCTCGGCCACTGGGATCTGCAGAGCGAGGGGCACGGCGCGGAAGTGTTGTCGCTGTTGTGTGGTACATTGGGGGGCGGCGACAAAGACTAGTTACAACTGGAAAACATAGGAGCAGCCGAAATCCAAACCTCAAGAGTGACTGGTGGACACAGCGAGCTGTTTACAATGATAGGAAATCTATGATTTGAGTAAGACTTCAACGAAAAGAAACAAAAAAAGAGATAAGCTAAGCCAAGAACAACACAACACAACGACCCAACTGCAACAATGAGTGTCTTACCGTAGGCTTCTCGTCGGCCAGGCTTGGGCACACGCACGCAGCGTTCTCGGTCCTGATGCGCAAAGCAAAACGGTTGGTACATCGACGGTGTCAAAAGGGGGGGGGGTGTCAAGACAAGTGAGAGCAAAACCAGACTCGGGAACGGGGGGGGGGGGGGAAAAGGGCAAGGGAAAAAATAAAACAAACCCCATCAATCAACAGTTCAATACTCCAGGCATGGAAGAGGAATGCGGCGACATGTTCTCCCGCTCGAAAGGGAAAAGCCTACTCCAGTGTGTGAGACCACGGTCCGCACACAACAATTCCCCGGCCCATGGCCACCGCTATCATCAACACCACCACCACTCTTCAACCATCACACAGAGAACCAGCAGCAACAGCAACATCACTTGCCTGGCCAGAACGTATACGATGGCCAGAAGCACGAGCATGGCCATGCAGTAGGGCATGCGCTTCGAGATGAGGCTGTCCCCGTCGTCCCCGTCACCGTCACTGCCTCCGCGGCGGTGCGGAACTCCCAGGGGGCCGATCCCGCCTCCTCCCCCGCTGGGGGACGAGAAGGAGGACGATCTCGCCGCCTCCGATGCCGCCGCCTTCTCGCGCTCATCCTGTTCGTTGATTTGATTGGTCAAGAGGTGCAGGCAGCAGATTGTTGGTAGCAGCTCGGACGGATGGGCCTACCAAGATGGTTCTAAAAACATCAGGCTAGAGTTGCTAGCTGTTGGCATTAAAAAGTAGCCGCGGAAGTATTCTACATGTGTAGGCGCATGTGTAAGCACGGAAGTAGTTTCCGTGTTTTTTCCCCGAGCCGAAAATGCGAGTCATCTAGTGGAGTCGGTCACCCCAGCAGTTCGGTTGGTACCTTCGCAAAATGTCTGACTCGGCAAGCACCGCGACAACGGGGGGGAGTGGAGAGCAAAAGCAAAACCCGGTGTTAAAATCCGGTGTTATACCTCCCTCCTCTTTGATGTGTGACCGGACGGCCTTCACCAGGAAAATGAACTAGAGAGGTAGAGAGGGGAGGATTCGTATCCTATCCCTAACCCTAAGCTTACCCAATTATACGAAAACAAGATATGAACGTGCTAGCGAAGGATGCTGATGTGACCCCGGGTGGTGGGTCAGACACCTGCAGTAGTCTACGCAGAGGAAATGATTAAGCACACATATGGGAGGTATTCAATCCGTGCTTTGGGGTTTGGGTTGGGTTAGGGTTAGGGATAAGGTCTGCGTGCCCCCTCCCTATTCCTTTTCTAGGTACTCTTCAAATGCTGCGTAGGCGGTCCTGAGGTCAACACTGGCGCCCAGAGTATATTGGATTAAACACGCATAAATATTGCCTGCATACATATCTTGATTTCATGATTGTTTCTTTTGCTCTCAGCGAAGCAACAGGGGCGCTCTACCCTCAGAGAAAGAACACCGAATCCGCTCATTGGGAGAGGCCGACAGTCCCGAGGGACGAACCCCGACTTGGTTTTAGACAGAAAAATGTCTCCAAACGGACGGGGACACTGTATAGTCTACTGAAACTAAGCCAGCAATTGCTCAGTTCTAGGCTACGTAGGCTTCACCAACAAGGGGATAGCCGGCTTGGGAGATATACGTGTACAACAAGTCAGACGCCGAGGAGAGGCATCACACAGCAGGCAGTAGGTCACGCACGAACCACGTAACGCATGGTAGACACGGTTTTCCGCGTGCGATTCATACTCGGGGCCTGGTGACGACTACAGACAGCAGGGCAGTGTCCCCAGGGTGTTTCCATTTGGGCGTCCAGTGGAGAGGAAGGAGGAGGAGGAGGAGGAGGAGGAGTCGGGCGCACTGCTGTCACAACAGTCACGTACGCTTACGAGATCTGTGGCCAAGCGTTTCCTGACCACCGCAAATCGTTCGGAATCACGAAAAAAAATACTTCCGCCACGTCCTACTTATCGAGCTGGCTCCAGCGTAAAACCCAGCAAAGCCCCCTTTTTCCTGTGCGCGCAAAAACTCCACTATTCAGTCTTTCGACCGACAGCAGTGTTGTCCCGTTTTGATGCGTAACGTGTGGTAGCCCGTCGCGCACTGCTGTCGGCGCGGCTGAAGCACTGATTCATGTTCTCCCATGGGTGCCTATCGCTTGGATAGAACTCCGCCTTCCGCAATTATATCGTGCCAAGAGCGGATTATCACAACCATCACAACCACAACAGTGGTTGTGATCACACCAGAGCTAAGAGTGTGGGATCCGTTCAACAGCATAAATAGATGACTTGTCAAAACTCAATGTCTCAACTTTCTCCCCTAAAGGCAACGAGATGCTGTGGGCACGCGATAATCTCGACACCGCAGGCATCAAAGCCGAGTTGCCCCACATTCAGGGATTCAAGAATTTGTGTAGATCACCGCTGGATACAGGAGCTCACCCACAGATGTACGCAACAGATGTTGTACGCCGGCTGCCCCGCTTCCGACAAATGAGAAAACGACAGACGTCCCCCAACAACACAGAGAATAATCAGGAACGTGCGGTCCAATTCTCCCGCTTCGAGTTCATGTACGTGTGGTGCGTGGGTGTGACGGGCGACACGCCGACTTTCCTACGAACGAACACGGATTTACCGCTGATGCTGAACAAAATGCACAGGAGTGAAAAATACGATGCAAAAATGGGAAAATGGCATGAGTAGTGCTTGCTTACAAGCCGCCCCCCCCATTAGTGCAGGAGGCGATTGCGAAGGGCAAGGGGAGGCATTCAGACGTCTAGGTCATCAGAGACTGAGAGGTAGCAGAACCCCGTTGGGCACGTTCGTGAACGGCCAGGGTTGGGTTGTCATAGAAGTATCATTTCCGCCGCCTATTTTGCGAGAAAGGTTTGTCTCACAGAAGACAGACCCCAGCTGCAGCAAACTACTGCACGGCGAGAGACGGATAGACGAGCAGTGACCCCCAAACTAGAAAGCAGAGGATAAGGCAACAATAGGCGGTGGTAATACATGCACCGCGAGGCATCCTCGGGCATGTCACAGTGCTATCTATCGCCCCGTCACACCTTTGTGCAACCAACAAAAGCCCTCACGCGACTCCAAGAAGGGAAGGCGAGATTGAGATTGCCAGTGCTAGTGATTCGATTCGCAGCTCATGCATGGCCGCCTCCTGGCTTGTCCATCACGATGTTCTTCCGACTCAATGGAGCCGGTACCCCCCGGGAGGAAAGGACGGCTGGAGAAATAACGAGGGTCGTTGTTGACAACCGTATGGGGCCGAAGGGGCAGCAGTCATGGAACAATGCTAAAGGCCACGGAGGGAACACTGCTGCTGCTGCTGCTACTGTATCGAACTGCGGGGGATCACGCGTGCACAGCACACACACATTTGGACGGGGAAAAAGAGGGGCTTCTGGTGAACCGCTTGCGCGAGTCGCGAAGCCGGGAAGAGGCGCCCACAAGAGAAGCACCTCTTTCCTTCCCGCAGTAAAAAACGTCGAACAGTGTCGAACACATGCGGGATGGAGCCCATAGAAGGAACACCACTGCTGTCGGTGATGTCGCACAACGACCCGATCATCGGATCGAACAAACGTACGATACCACATCACCAATTAACACACCATACCTGAGCCACCGGGGCGTACTTGTACACCGCCATGGTGTTCCCCCCTCTGTTTCTTCAGAGAACCCCACAGGTTGCCAAGGCTAAGAATGCCGAGGCTTGGTCTCTGCAGGCCTGCGCAGCAGCAGCACTGGTCGTGTGTGCGGCTGTCACTGCTTTATCTTGGAGTGTTGATTCACGCTTCCCAGCTTCCACAACCCTCGTGGGGGATACGTAAAAGGATTCTCTGAAGAAGGGAGGGGCAGGGGCCCTCCCGCCCGCACCCGTCGCGGGATCAAATCGTATGTATGTACATGTTGTATTCAAATCGCAGATCGACAGCGCCACAGCGATACGATGCCGATCCATCAGTGGCTAGTGGAGCAGTGCTAGCGCTTTTTGCCCCTGTAGCAGAAGAATGCCACCACCTTGCGTCCTGTCACCGTCATCTTGCGCTACCATCCTGCATGACGGTATGGTGTTCTTGAGGCACAGACACTTATAGAACCGCAGGAGGAGGGGGTCCAACCCCCCCTCCTATGACCCCGGTTGGGTCGTCTAGCTGGTAGAAGTGGAGGATAGGGGCCAGAGGGGCAGACGACAGAGTCCAATCATGGGAGACAATATATATATATATATATACTACTATCGAAGTCTACAGCACATTGAGACGCGTCGTTACAGCAGCACATACCGTATTCTACACAAGATACCACACCCCGGTGATAACATTTTGGGCTTCAAAAATATTATCACCGGGTGTGGTATTGTGGGGGGGGTGTGGTATCTTGTGTACCCCGGTGATAAAGCCTAGCTCGCAGGAGCTCCTCAGGGGGTGTGATAAACCAGGGGGTGTGGTAGCACATGCGACCACCCACAGGGAGGGTTTGGGAGTGGGATAAAAAAGGGGGTGTGATAAAATGGGGTGTGATAACACGTCGGAACACCCAAAGAGTGTGTTCGGGTGTGTGATAAACAGGGGGTGTGCCGCTTGCGTAGAAGTCTGCTCGGGTTGAAAGAACGAGGTGATCTGTGGCGCCTGTGCTGCTGCGGTCGAAGCAGTCGTGGGAGAAGCAGATGTACTTGCGGCGGCATTCTGCTCTTCCCGCACGTTCATGTTCTCTGAGGTCTCCATGTCTCCCCCCGTACGGTACAAGCTGTGCGTGTGTGATGCTGTTTCACCCCCGGTGATAGAGACAGGGAATGTATGCGGCGTAACCTGTGTTATCACCGGGGTGTGGTATCTTGTGTACCCCCGGTGATAAATCATGGTCTGAAAAATACACCCAAAATTACCACCGGGGTGTGGTATTGTGGGGGGGGTGTGGTATCTTATGAGGGTGTGGTATCTTGTGTAGAATACGGTACAAGGGCACCACGGTGCTTTTAGAGAGTCTAGACTGGACTAGATCAAAACACAACCTCACAGAAAGACAAGTCTAGTCTACCCGTTCGAGATATAACCTCTCAGTAGAAAGGGATGTGGTGAAGTCTTTTCAGTGAGTGGATTGAAACCAACTGGAGATTTGGCTTATTTTGAGTTTGTGTAAGCCTAACACTGAGTTATCAGTAATGCCAGTTTGAGCTAAGAACAGAAGCATCTGTATCGGCGGATACA